TTCAGAGCTTTCACGAAGAAGTCTGACCATCGCGTTAGGCGGTTCGTCCAGGCGTTCGCTTGACATCCCGTGGAATCCAGTCGGTGACTGCTCTGGTCCAGCGGTCGTCCTCGAAACGCATAACGTGTCCGGCCCACCTGATCTTCGAAACCTTGGCAAATGCGGCGGCGTCTCTGATCTTCGATCGTTGGCGGAGTGCGGAGCTCCGGATTCCCTCTCTCACTTGCGTGTAGCGGGAAACTCCGAGCATCGCCCTTTCGATGGCGCGTTGACAATAACGCGACGCATGCTCATGCCTTGCTTCTGTAGAGGTCCAAGTCTCTGAAGGCGTACGTCAAGGAGGCAAGCGACGCGGAGTTGAAGAGGTGGGCACGGAGCTTGGTGTCTTCGTCTTCTTCGCTACTCCCTCGATGTTCTTGAAGGCTCCCCAAGCGCTCGCTTCCTCCTGCTCAGCTCTGGAGCTAAGACATTCATCATATTTGAATTACCACGACCTAGTACACAATAACTTAGAGCATTCAGAGATGTCGCCCACCTCCGATGGAGCAGTGAAGGGGCATCAGATACCAATCCGTTTCTCATGAAATCGTCTTCGTTAGGTTCAGCCGTAGACCGATTCTTCCACACGCGCAGTCGAATTCAGCCAGCATTCGTTCCGCTTGCTCGATGTTTGGCGTTATCAAAACGATGTCGTCAGCAAAGCGGAGATGGTGTAGTTGCCGACCGTCGATCTTCACTCCCATGTCTTCCCATTCCAGTTGACGCATGACGTTCTCGAGAGAGGCGCTGAAGAGCTTGGGCGAGATGGTGTCGCCCTGTCGGACCCCTCTCTTCACATCAATGATGATCTCCTTGTAGAATGGTGAAATCTTGGTCGTGAAGTTGCTGTAGAGCTCACGAAGAATCCTGATGTACTGGAGGTAAGCGAATACCCTGGTGCGACAGGACTTCGATAACCGCTTCTGTCTTTCAACGGAAGGAGAGAGTCGAAGGCCTTCGTTCAAATCGGTGATGAACGTGAGACATAGCGCGCATCATTTGCTACTCTTCGCGAGATACTTCGATGAGCTTCGTTACCGTGTGGATGTGATCGATCGTGCTGAATCCTCTTCGAAACCCTGCTTGCTCGCATGGCTGTCCTTCGTCTAGTGTTCTTCCAATCCTGTTAAGGATGACTCGTGTGAAGAGTTTGTAGACTACAGACAGCAGGCAGATTGGGCGATAATTGCCAATGTCGTACAGGTCTCCCTTCTTGTACAGCAACACAGCTCGTTAGCTTGGTTTTCCACGCAGGTTGGTGGTACCTTGCATTCCAGGTAGCGCGTGAAGAGTCGAGCCAGAGTTTTGACGAGAACTGGCGGAAGATTCTTCAGATGTTCGGGTCTGATCCTGTCGGGACCGGGTGCCGTACGATTCTTCACCGACGAGATGGCGTGTCGGACTTCGGAAGCCGTCGACAGCACATTCCAAAGCGAGAACTGCCACAGAACGACATCATCCATTACCTTGCCTCAAGCAGGTTATGTTGCAGGCTGCTTGATCGCGCTGGTCAAAGAGATTCGAGGTACAAAGTCGTGGATGACCTTCTCCATTGCCCTTCTGGATGCGGTGATTGTTCCATCCGGACGTCGGAGGGCGGGTCATCTTGGTCTTACAGTTGGCGAAGTCGTGGCGCCGGTGTATACGTTGCGTATGCTCTTCCAGCCATCTGCCGGCTCTCCACCAATACTGCTGCTCTTCTCTCCTTGAGGTCTTCTTTTATCGCTCCTCTGCATAGCTTCGCAAGCTCAGACGTCAGCTGGTAATTGCCTGCGGCTCGTGCGGCTCCACGTTGGCGAATCAGCTCGAGAGTTTCCAGAGATAGACGCTTCTTTATGGGAATCTCTGACTTCTTGGCGCAGTCGTGAAGATGTGCAACAAGCCGTTCGTATTCCTCGTCGATGTTGTCGATGACAGAATCCTCCCAGAGCCCAGCGAGAGAAGTGAAGTGATCCCAGTTGATGAAGGTCTTTGGGCTTCGCTTCTTGAACTTTGCGGCTCTCTCTCCTCGCATCGAAAAGCGGAATCTTGCGCGAAGGAGGCGATGGTCGGATCCCGTGTAGAACTTAGGGACAACAGCGACATCGATTAGGCAAAACCTTCGATTGCAGATGATGTGGTCGATCTCGTTATGGAATTGTCCACCAGGAGACTCCCATGTCCAGCGTAGAGAGTAGGGCTTCTGGAACTGCGAGTTACCATGGATGGTATGGGTCGACATGATAAACTCAGACAGCCTTTCACCCTGCTCATTCCACTCCGTTCCGTGAGTTCCGATGTGAAGTTCTTCAGCCGTTCTTCTTGGTCCGATCTTAGCGTTGAAATCACCGACGATGACCTTGAAGAAGGTACTTCCTTGTTAGAACGTTCTCCAATTTTCCATATAGAACGCCTTCGAGTTTCATCTCGTCCGTAGCTTGATGGTTGGTTGCGGTAGGCGACGAAGAATATGTCAACTGGACAAGTTGAACCACATCTTCTCAAATCGCAAACGTCCGATTCGGGTCGTCAGACTTTCGTACGAATCGATGTTCATGGCCAAGTGCGTGTTGACGAGGACGCCCACACCGCCAACGCCTCTGCTGTCGCATGTTCCAAGGAACAGTTCTTCTCCAGTCTCGTACACGGCGTGTAGCGGGCGATGCCTCCTCGTCTCGGTCAGTCCGATGACGTCGTACTTGATCTTCCTGGCTTGCAACATCAGATCTTCGATGAGCTTCCGATGCAAGCGTCCGTGCGTTGAAAGTACAGATCGTCATCCTAGTCCTGGGCGACTTAAATCTCCGTTGGCCCTGTGATTTTAGCAGCCATCCCAGAGCTAAATAGAAATAGTAGAGACAGAAATATCGATAGAGAGAATCACTTCCATGTTCAGCCTTGCCGCTCTGGATGGTGCAATTGTGTTTGCCGACCAAGTAAACAATTTTTTTTAACTCTAGATCTTCTGTACATTAGAAATTCGGTTAAGAGCCTAACAACTGCCTTCTTCCACCGCCTTTTGAGTCAAATTTTGCCAGCGTTTAGTGGAGCTGCGTCATTCATTAGTTCATTATTTCCTCACTAACGTCAACAAATACCCCCGCTGACATCTATTACGACACTAAAACACGACGTTCATGTCCTCTGACGCAAGCATATAATTACAATTATGTGATTATGTGACGAACTATAACCTCGACCCTAGCCGATGACCCCTTCATTACTAGTCACAGCACAGGTTATTGAGAAGATAACATCAATGACATGGAATGTGGCTGACACTAAGAAGACATGCTAAGGGCCCTTTTGATATGCATGGGATAGTGGAGAGTAATCGGCAGGAGGTCAAAACCTGACCAGTTATTCTTGCGTCACACTCACAAAGCTGCTAGTTTTTCACAATGTGAAGCGTCGAGAATACACGAATTGTGGGCTATACACAATTGTTCGCTTCTCATCAGTGCTCAGTAGAGTATCGGTAGCATACAAACTGGTTATTGATACAAAAGAACAAATGGCATGCGAGAGCTGAGCTGGGCCATCTCTAGATCGCGCCACGCATTCGATTCTAGTTGAAGAAAGTGAAAATGCATAGAGCTTTCTTCATACATAACGATTGCTGCAGTAGGACAAAATGACGCAAATTTATGAGTTTACCAGAACGTCTGCAGCAGGGATTCTGCTGCGATAGCCATGCGCTTAACCGGTGGGAAAACAACAGAGGCTTCTGGCTCAGTATAGAGATAACTTCTTACTCGTGATAGCAAAAGTGTTTAGCCTCCACCACACGCAGTTCAGAAGTGCTTTCATTGTCAGTAAACTCTTGCTCAAGATGGGAACGCGTGTCATTGGAGACCAGAAAATCATAGAGCACCCATTCACACCCTTCTAGGCTTCAAGTGTATCCCACTGTTTCATGAAAAGAAAGCATCAAATGGGGGAGCCGTAAAGCACCTTTTGATGCCTGACGGGTTTGGGAAATTTTTGATGTCAATTGTGGTCCGCGCTAAGAAGCACACATACATTCCAGTACAGTAAAACTTTGTTACCTAAGTGGAGCCGTTGTGATGGGCTCGGTATGGTCAGCGTAAAAATTATAAATTTATGTTCTATGCTAGCCAGTTCATTGATTGACATGAAACTTTTCATTGGAAGGCCTACTTGCTCCAGAGCAGATAATGCAGCCTGACAAAAGAAAAATTCTACATTATCTGCTTTACGTTTTCGTAATGTAGTTTCAACATATTGTGCATTTGCAGAACGTTATCAAGTAATGCGGTTTAAAGCGGTGTTATAGTGTTGTTCGCTGCGGATGAAGTGCCATGCTAGGAGGAATGGGCTTGGCAGGGCGCTGGAACAGCCGTTTTTCACCAGTGTTGAAGCGAGCAAGGCGGGCTCGCACAGTCTCTATCATAATCGCTGTCCTATTCAGTCGTTTTCCACCCACTGTTGTAGCCTACCCGCCTCCAACAGTTGTAGAACATTGGGCCTGCACGCCTCAAAACGATCCTCGGTCAGCCTTCTTACGCGCGAATCAGGGCTACACGTATGGGAAATGGTTAGGAGAGACCAATTTCAAGGTCGACAAAAAGACATCGTGGCACATGCTTGCCTTGTATTGTTTCAGCGAAAAACGTGTTGAAAGCGTCCTGTTCTCCATCGTTGTAGTCGATCATAGTTCCATCTAAAATATAAGCACCGTTCCAGACTATCTATTTGTCACCATTCACCGCTATATTTTTATCTGGGCTGACCCCGATTTCACTTTGTTAAAACAAACTTCCGCAGAACTTGCAATTCATTATAAAGCCCTCCTCTACGGAAAACGCTTCCGCTTTCGTAACTTTCGGGGCTCCGCGCTCTTTGTTTCTTAGGTTAGAGCTCAAGAAGGAGGCGGGAAGAGCAAGCTGAATGCCATTTTGAGATCAAGTCATTTCAAAACTTTCTTCGAAGCAGGTTAAGACTTCCTCCCTCTGGGGTCTTTTCCTTCTGTTACCTTGATGTGAGAAACATCGGTCAGTGAATTGTTGCAACACGTTGAATCCAAATTTTAAAGCCACGGATGCTGGGCGTGTTCGGGAGAATCGCCTGGTGCGGCGCTAGCCCAATCTCCACCAATTCTTGTATTGAGTAAGAAACATTATTCGATGAAAAAAGGGCTGCCGGTGCGCCAAACTCAGCTCCTTGAAACATTTCAGCATCTGTAGCGAAAATGACTATAGCTAGTGCGTCATTCGCAGACTTTTCATGATAAAAGGAGAAAGAACACTGTTCAGCCTTCACTACTGTCCCCCTTGAAGATGTCCCGATACAAGGTTTTGTCATGGGGTAAAGTTTGTCCCCGAGTGTGCTCAGATCCTTCGAAAACGAATATCAAATCGACCTGATTCATGACGGATTCCTAATCATATCTTTAACAATGAAGTTTTACTATAGCTGTAACCAACTACAATAGCAGCCTCTGTTTGATGTAAATTCGAACAAAATAGTTTTTTCAGAGAGCTATAGGTTGTGATCGTATGCCCACTGCAATGCAATGCAATTATATCATACAACATTAGATCAAATTGCTTACCAGGAGCTATGGCGTGTTCCAGGCAGTAGAGCTCCCAACAGGCGTTGCCGATTTGGACACCAGCCTGACCAACGTGTATGGAGATCACCTCACGCTAAATAAATTCAGGTTTATTGCACAGTGCAGAGTTACGGCTAGATTGCCTCAGTCAAGCCTTGGTCCAGGATATTTTACATTATTCCCAGTGTGCCTTTCATTTTGTGATTATATCCGCAAACGTCGGGAAACAGCAGAGAAAAAAAATAAAGAGCCTTGACAACAAACACGGACACGCGGCTATCAAGTCTGATACTGGCCTGGTGCTCTTTTTGAGGGTCAGTTGTAGCTTAAGGCGTTGGCACATAACGATCAGGATAAAATACTCCTGGACAGGATAGAATTGCGGCGACCCATAGGCCTACATAGCAGTTTTGCGCCGAGGGATAAGTGGCCTATAAAGCGCCCTATCAAAGAGCCACAAACTTTACCGTCCCAAACGCCCGCCAGCCGGCCCGCCCACAGAATCGACAACCGTTCCGAAACGCTCGTATTCAGTTCAATTTGTAAGCAACAAGAAGTATGAGGCGAAAGGATTGTGTGAAGCGCGGCCCTGTGAATGCCCTGCAGCATACATGCGACAATATAATGCCAGAACCGTATCTATTTGGTAGCATGATTGGTAAGATGCCTGTGGGAAACTCGTTACGAAATCGATTACAAGCTAACTGAGGAGGCTTTTTTCAGTGAGATTTTGACCACTCTTCACTCTGTCTTTCGCCATGTTCCCCACTCGCAGCCTACTTAGTATATTTAGACAAGTGAGGAACATCCCGTCGTGCCAACTGCCTCTCAAGTTCGTAACCACTTAGCTGACGCTCATGCCAGAGAGTGCCTCTCTGGACGCGTGTCTAACAACTCAAACAGTCATGCTCTTGCTACCTTCACTGTATTCCAGAACTTCCACACTGCTACCGACTTTCTATCCGGATGTTTATATCACAAAATCCCGCACTAAAGAGATTGGAAAGCAGAGATCGTAAGTCTTGCTGAGTAACACTAACACCTTAACAAAGTAACCTAGCGACGGCTCAAGATGGCGTGAACATTTTCTTCGTCGTCGGTCATATGCCATTGCTGCCATTTCTGTGCTTCCACAATTGCCTCAGTCGCGATTCAACCAAACAAGATGACGAACTGCCCCAAGCATTTATTGATTACAACATATCAGACTCTTATTTCAAGCAGCCAAGATAAAGGCGTAAATCTAGTGATCCGGAGAGGAATCAGCACTTCTCTCTCTCTTACGAAGAAGCGAGAGGAAGGGGATGGTTCCATAAACAGGGAAAAATACTTACACTTCCACGATAATTTGACATGAAGTATTTCTGGTCGATAGGTGAGTTGTAGCCGTTGCTGATTATGGCCGTGACCGCCTTGTGGGTGGGTCTTTGTGGACAATGGCCGCTTAGCAACATGAATTTCCGCCGGAATCACTTAAGAGGCCCAACACTCTGTGGAGGCGAAGCGGTCAAATATCAGGCGAGTAAGTAGTAAGAAAAGGTAGAGGGAAAGTGAGGTTTTTCCAGAAGGTTTCCAGGTTTTTTTCACCCCTGGATAAAGAGCTGCACTAAATGGTAGATCATGTTGTAATCCTAGATATTCACAACTAGAAGACGCCATACACATGGCTATATATACCCTTGTTTCGGCACCGGATAAGCACATCAGTGCACTTCAGAACAATTTGGGTACTTTATGACCAGCCTTTTTCCGGTCTCAAGGAAAAGCCTCCTGCTGGGGTAGAAAATATGAAACTTCCAGCCATCGACAAATCGTATTTCGACTTGCGGATCCCATTCAGAATGTTAAAGGCTTATTGAATGTGATTTGGCCTATACCATGACTTGTGGTGGCCAACTGTTGCAGAAGTCAGTATTTTTATCGTCCTGGACAATGTAGTGTCAATTCCTGTACACTAGCGGGGATGCTTGGTTGGTCTTGGGTGAGACCCGATCCGGGATCTGGCTCCCGGACCGTGACGACCGGGTCTCTTGTCGATACAATACTCATGCCTCTCAGCACTACAACCTTTTTTATGTTAGGAGGTCCCTGGTGCCGCAGTACATTCCAACATTTCACAAGTATGTAGAAGGCGATTTACCTTGCGTAGAACTCCCTCCAGCTTATAAATCAGATCTAACGCTGATACAAAACTACAAGCTTAGCCCTCCTGAGGCACATCCGATTGAAACTCCAGACTGTCTGCATATTTTTTTCATTCCGAGAACTTCGACAAAGCCCTCGCTCGCATGAAGGAAACCTTGAAGGTCCCGCAGTCGCCAAGGGTCAAAGCCAGCTAAAGGCTTATTTTCTCGAATTTCTGCTTGGGTGGAGCAGTATTTTTGAACCAAGCTGATAGGGCTTTTCAGGTCGCCTCAGCAGAGTGTTCCCTGGG